TTCGGGGAATAGAATAGGATAATATTCTTCTTCGCTACTGTAATCAATCGTAATTTTTCAAATAAAACCTTTGCAAAGAATTCAATTGAAATCACAGAGGCAAATCAAACTACTAGTTTGGCAATTGTGTTAATTTCTCACACTATACGTAGCGTAATGTAATGTAGCTAGCAAGCATCTTTAGCTATTAATCCACTAGGTAAATTGAACTTATAATGTCGTTCGTAGCTCTAGTTTTGTTTATTACTAAATTTTCTGAACCCTGTGCGTTCGAACATTCTGTGAGACCTCAAAGTATTTGTGAATACGGTTGTAAAAGGTATTAATACAAAATTACATAGGCTTGCAATCGATAATACTGAATCATTAACTTTACGGTTTACTGGCTAATCGTCCCACTATCAGAAAAAGCCAATATCCAATATACAACATGTAACAAAGTTCAGTGCGTTATTAGTATTTAAATGCATAGAAATCATTTTACTTCAGAAAACGCGAGAAAATTAAATTAAATTTAAATAAATTTTTATTTGCAAACTGTATGTGAGTTTATTACCTCTGCATTGCATGGGGAGTAAGAGTATTGTCAAAGTACCCGCTTTACCGATGCGCGGGTCAGTTAGTACAGATGTAAGTAACATTTTTTCATAAGATATAATTTAGTTAGGTGTCTATTGTGAACACTAAAGTCTTTTTAATAACGACCTAAAATAATTTCACTGACATAAATGCCATGCCTATTAAATCTATATCTATACGTCGCTAGAAGGATCAACAAATTGTTACATACTGTTAAAAATTTGCTACTATGTTTCGAGTTTAACCACATTTCAAACACCAAAACAAACCCAACTGCAACTCTCACCACAGTTAAACAATAGTGATCCTTAAGAACGCGACACCCAACAACGAACGGATAGCTAATTTACAATTGTTTAACTTGCGTGAATAGGAATAAGTTAGAATATATTATTACGATTGCGTGACATGGAGTTAGTAAAGTTGGATGTCAAATGGCTGACAGTTAACATTAGTTTCAACAAATTATTCATTGTTTGCCTTTTCTTGTACCCTTGCTTTTTACAAAACGGTAATGACCAACGAACTTACAGGCTATCTGATGGCTACTGCAGTCCATGAATACCTGCAGCCAGCTTCAAACTAAAAAGCCTGCAGATGCGTTGTCACCTCCGAGGAGTAAGATGGAATGTGTCACATCCTGTAATTATACTGGCTCTCTTTACTCCGGACAGACTCCAAGGGAGAAAACGAGTCCAACTACTTTATTAACTCTATACCTTTTAAAACACACCTTACTTGTTACCTTCTGGGGAAATTACATTTAAGTCCCAAAAAAGGTGCATTGGGGCTATGTTTGGTCTTAAAATTACTGATAGCTGCAGACCATATTTTATTGAGTAGAAAATTTTTAGCTTGCCCTCCTTATTTATATAGGAAATAGCAAACTTCGTTCACAGTAACCCTAAATTGTTTAACAAACAATCAGACGTTACAATTCGCAATCACCGGGATAATAACAGGTTATGCGCAATTAGATCAAGAACGGCATTGATGCATAAAAGTATTTTCTGTCTGGCGCCAATAATATATAATAAAATCCCCAAAACCATCAAACAATTGCCTACTACACTTTTTAAGCTACAACCTAAAAAAATATCTGATAGCCAAATGTTATTACAGCTTGCCTGATTTCTTAAATGATTGATTTTTTTAAGCTAAATATTGAATTGTGACATTTCTCTAATGTAATCTTAGGAGATACCATTGAAATTGTTGCACATCTTGAATTAGGTCCGTAGGGTTAGTTTTTATCTTATATAACTAATAAAATATGAAGTATAATTTTTGTACGCCATAAATGGCAAAACATGTAGCTCGTTTTAAGTTTTTTAACACCTTTATATTTTTACTCATGTTTTACAAAATAAATAAGGTACGTTGGGGTAATACCGGACGGATTTTCGAAAAGTTGGAAGAGTCTGCCAAAAACTTTAATTTCTCGACATTCGTATACGTCAGATTTATGGAACCTGGAGCAAACCGTTAATCGTTAAACGTAGTTTAGCTCTGAGAGTCTTTTGCTTGTGTAAACTCAACGGTTTCTGCTTTAAAGGTGTGCGAAAACTAGACATACTTTTTTATATGCATAATGAAAAATTGGCCATTAAGGGGTAAGACCGGACTTAAATTTAAAACCACTTCTACTGCTTAGAGAAAAAAGTTTATAAAAGAGATTTGTCCTATATTTAACGCTCAAAAACATATTTCAATATGATCTATAAATTACTAGAAACATAAATGTTCCAAACGATTTTCTCTTTTTTTGTTTTTTGCCATCCGATCTTATCCCTGATATAAAGAAATTGTAATTTTATGTTTCTCAAACTTTGTTATGACATAAGATGGAATTACTCAATATAAGAGAAAGATCGGATGCATTTGATTTTATATGGGAAAAAAAATAACAGTAAGGACTGGCGAAATGCCCTGGGATAATGCAGGAGTTAAGGAAGATATAAATATTTTAACAAAGCGGCATTTATTATTATAAATTATTTTTTAAATAATTATTATAAATTACATTTTGATTTGTAATAGAGGATAGATATAGATGTCTATGGGCCGCAGTAATCACTTAACATCAGGTGGACTGTGTGCTCCTTTGTCACCCTTATCCTATTAAAAAAAATGTATTTTAATGTGTACTTAAAAGTAATAAAACCATCGTATTGTTTTATTACTTTTAAATATACAGACTTGCTAACGAGACTGAGTCCCATAGTCACTTGAGTAATCAACGAAAAAATATACACGACCAATGAAAGTTTAACAACCACTGCCATATTTGTAACAGGCAAAGATCGGATAATATTCATCCGATCTTCACTCACGAGGGGAAACATCGGATCTCGGCCAACAGCGATCTTACCCCTGCATGGACCAGCTTTATTTAGCTATAACTTCATAAAAATTAGTATCCACACAAAATAATAACAAAAGAAGCCATATTCTCGCTAAAAATCGTAAATAAAAGTGATAGGGAAAGATCGGATGGACAAAAATAATACAAAAATTACATTGTTTTATAAAATGCCACGCAGCACAGGTCCCACTTGCCGGAGTGACTGGCGCGAACTGAGGGTCGGGGCAGGATGAAATGGCGTCGTGTAGCATATTGTTAGCTTTTCAAAATATAGCATAATTCGCCGGGAATTTGAATCCTACGGTCTTGCCCCATCACCGATCTTACCCCAACGTACCTTATCTTTATCTTATCTTTATCTTTACCTTCAAAAACACTTTTGCACACACTGCTGCACTATTTGGTTACAGAAATAGGTAAAATTGTCTCTTCCAACTTTTCTTATAGTAATAATTTCTTATGTTTACGCGAACACTGCTCGTTTAAATGAAACTCATTTTTACGTATTTCATAAACAATTGAAAAAATGGCGGGGAAGTGTTTTTTATTTTATTTTTCTTTTTCTTAATATCCCATATGCATTTATATTAAAACCAGCCAGATACAAACAGTACAACCAAAGAGATTTTCCTCCAATTTTATACAAACAAAATACGAAGTAACTTTTTTTCCGACATATTATTAACTTATTTTATATTTCTGACAATTCGAGGACTTTACAGCATCCATGGTCACGGGGGATCTGAGGTGTTCGAGATCCTATTTTCATAGTTAACCACGGAAATAGGGTTGTCAAAATTAGTTTCATTTTGTTACAGTATTCATGGAATGCCATCCACTTACAATCACACCACTTACCATCAGGAGAGCTTTAAAGTGTTTACTACTTCAGTTTTTTTTAATGCGGTCTGCTAACACGCATTGGGCCAGAGCGGTGGACTCTTCAATGTCATAAAAGCCCCTCAAGATCGAAAGGAGTTCTGTGCCCAGCAGAGAGTTTATATTGGCTTTTAGTTTACTTTTTACTTATATCTTTTGTCTCTGTCTTCTCTAACGTAAATATTTCGGTCACCGAGACCGTTGTTGATTCTAATGAGCACTCACGATTTTTCTACCACCAGGAGAGCGCCAATTAGGAATGAGGTGATATTTTTGACAGATTTCATAACGTGGGACGGGTATTTGTTGAAAAAGTGCAGAGATTAATATTTCTTTCTAAAATATTTTCTATTAATGTGATCACAAATGGATTAACGGATATTTCTAAAGTAGAAGAATTAAAAAAAAATTAAAAATGTCTACAAAATTAAAAAATAGTTTGGAAAATCCCAAATTGCACGCGTCATGAGCGTTTCATTAAGTTTTGATGGAAAAAGAATTACCAAGATAAATCGATTACACAAAGTATAAGTAAAATCTATTTAGGCTGTATGATACTTTGTCCTTTGTCTATCAAGGGCTAAAGAAAAAATAAGCGCCTTTAAATTTTTAATAGCAATAAAAATTATAATCCTTGAATTAACAAACGACGCGTTCTAGGCTATTGAAATGATACAGGGAACCAGTTAATGTAATTCTGAAGCTAATAAAAAAATACCGGTCTCGATACGACAATTTTATTAGGAGTTATCGTGACCACATAAAAACTCAACATCCGGACGTCCACGTAAAAATGTTTTCAAACAGTTTTTTTTTTAATCAAAGTAGCAATATAAAATGATTTCTTAGAAAATATAAGATGGATTAATATACGGTTACTCATATTATCTTATAAGTGCAATATGATTATGATAGAAGTATTTTAAGACCACAAAATTACTTGACCTTGACGTTTCGAGAGTAATACACTACCTAATAACGCTTCGCGTTATGAGGTGTGCATTATAGCACTGAATCTTCGTTTTGTGTATATAAGAGTATACGTGTACTTACATACACGAGAAACCGAAAAACTTATAATTAAGTCGCAATTTTTCAATGATAATGACACTGTGTGACCATCTACGCAATAAATAAGTTCACATTAGTGCCAACTTTACACTACACTACACTAGATTTACACTGCGTTATATCTTCTCGTGTCACGCAAATCCCGCAATCTGTTCCCATATGGGTTTGTTTCTGTGCCATAAGAACTGTTGCGTCTAGCCCGCTGTTCGATCCTGTTCCTACGGTCGTGGCTATGAGATCGGACACGGACCAAGTGAGTGCCTTCTGCGGTATGGTTAACTGTAGTTTCGTAGATGCTGGAATGATCTCTGCTGAATCTGCTTATGTTTCTTTTAACTTTTCTGCAGCAGAGTGTTTCTCGGAAGGCTGCTTGATATCTACGGACAATAATATTATATTTTTTTCTTATATTTACGCAAACACTACACATTAAATGAAACTAATTTTTACGGATTCTATCGCGTTTAATTTTTTTAATTTTTTTTTTTACCTGAACACGATGGAATCCGTAAAAAATATTTTCATTTAATGAATAATAATATATGCTTATTATGAGTAAACATTTAGCAGCGGTGTAAGAACATCCACTACCCTGTATCATCCCGTGAATGTCGTAAGAGACGACAGAGGGGAAACAAACCTGGAGATGGGCGGTGTCTTCCTAATAACGACAAAAAAATGGTTAAATTAAGTACAACCAACTTCAATATAAATAAAATGAGAACATCATCAATGTCGTCGAAGTCAATTAATTATGCATTATTAAGGATAACTCAAAAACTATTGGTCAAATCATATTTACACGGGGCCATATGAGAAACACCTTTCCTATGATAGCGTATGTATAATTATGACAAAATGTAAAATTGATATTCGTTTGTAGTATTTGAAAAATATATATGGGTAATATTTAGAATCTCTATTTGGTTGCAACGTTATGTGGGTGGGATGTTATATTAGAAATATTAGAATATAGAAAGAATAGTGTTTATATTTAGAATTTGATATATTATGTGGGTGGTGTACTTATTTAATTATGTAATAGGATATAAGAGTGCATTTATACGCCAACAAACTGTCTTTACAGTTTGGCGAAGTTATAAAATTATGTAATGATTTTGTAAATGTTAGTAAATAAATAAAAAAAATATATAAAAAAGAACCATCGTAATCGGTTCACCTAAAAAAAATTCTGTGGTAACACATAAAAAACATACAGTCGAATTGAGTACCTCCTCCTTTTTTGAAGTCGGTCGAAAATAAATAATCTCATCTAAGTCTGACAAGCGTGACAAAAATAGTAAATGTTCCCCTATCAGGCAGTCTATGGGGAAGGCCTATCTACGAGTATGTTCAGTGGACTTTTTATAGACTTCATGGTCTTAACGGTTACTAGTCATCTACGCAAGACATGATTACGAGTGATGTGCGTTAGTGCAGGAGTGATGAGCGTTAGCACAGGTGCACTCTCTATTCCCTATAGTCTATGACAGTACGATTTAACCTATTAACCGCTGAACTTCAAGTGGTATAGTAGCCCAGCACTGGCTTATGATAAATAAAACATTTAAAAAAATATAATAAAATGGCGGACGCTAATTTTTTACTTTGTGCTTACCGACGACTCATACTGTTGTAAAGTATTGGGTTGACCGTGGCGGAGATGTAGTAGAACACACCCGCAACGTTGAACAGATTCTCGTTGATGGTGTGATAGTTCTTGGAACTGGTGCCGTAAATGAAGAACAGCCGTTGGAAGTGGAACGGTGCCCAGCATACGTAGAAAGCTATCACTACCGCGGCTGAAGGCAAATATTTCTATCAAACTTATTATAAATTGGGGAATTACATTATTTAATGGATTTTACGCCTTTTATGTTGTAAAAAGCAACTCACGTGATAGAACCATGTTGCAGCTATATTGTAGTTTCAGCACGAATGGGTTGACTTGACCAAGGAAGGACCACGCTCTCACAGAATATCAGCGTCAAAAGGCAACTTATGCTGCTGTGTTCCGTATGGTAAGTGTAGAGAACCGGTGACCCTTTCTATAGGTAACGAGGCATTCCATTTTAGTACTCGGGGGTTGCAACGCCACTATATTTTGATTCTTAGTTGTGGATAGATGTAGGCGTATATGGGCTACAGTATCCACTTACCATCAGGTGGTACGTGTTTTAATCAATATAGATTACAAGAACATATAACGAAAGTCGTATAAGGGTTCATTGGTTCGACAAAAAACTCTATCCTGGGAAGAACCAGCAAGAAACCGAGCGGGAATTTAAAAAAGAAATAATTTACAATTTAATGATTCATTTATCACTCCTTTGGTGGATGCCGCCTTACAGTATTTTTAAATTAAACACACCATAATGATACATAACATTAATATTTAAACCTCATTCATACCAAGCATTCGGATGATATTCTTTCGAGACTGCGCCTGTCGTGCTTCTCCATGAACACTTCCGTTGACTCCATTTAAGGTCCTCGGACTTCCAGGGTTTTGTGTTTGTGTCGATCTAAAATATTTGAAAAGTCTTAACAAATGTGATATTTAATAAATTTTACTGACAAAAATAATAATTTACTTCACCTGAGGATGACTCGTTTAGAGGCGAAACACGTGTCGTATTATCGACAGTGGTATGTCTTTCCTAGTGTATTGGTGTTGGGAGTAGTATTGCTGGGACATTGCATGCTATTGAGGGAGGGTGGGAGATGCTCTTCAAACTAAGTAAGACACATCAATTTATGTTATTACTCGGTACTTTGATAATTAATTTTAACATCTTCAAAAATAAGAAAATATAGTAAAATAAGAAAATTGACTGAGGAGGCAGTAACCCTTCTCACAGATACGGTTGTAACTCATCTCGATCAGGGTAGATCGCATGTCGGTGTTTTTCTCGATCTGGGTAAAGATTTTTTTTTGTATTTTGGCTAAGTGTTTTCTGGTAAATAAATAAATTTATTATTATTATTATCTGTCGCACTACTCAAATGCCAGTCAGGGTACTTAACTTGTCATAAAAGGGTTATTAGTGATGTTTTCCTTCACCGCCGTGCAACGTGGTAAATCAATTGTTGCAATCAATAATTTTATTCCTGGCAGTGAGCTTTGATGTATTTAAAGAATGTTCTGTAATAAAGCCCTACAGCTGTAGGAGCATGTAGACTGTACACGTTGCACTGCAACATGACGTTATCATTTTACATGTATATTAGGGAGAGTAAAGTAAAGATACGTACCCCATCACATATCTAATCCTCAGGCCCATGCGAACGTAAAGACAGAGAATAATGATGCCGGGCAGAATAAAGAAGAACAGGCTGCTCAGCTCACAGATGTACCAAGAAGGAAGCTCCAACATCGCGCAGAAAGCGGATTCCAGTGAGTCGTTACCCGAGCCTGATGGAGAAAATTATGTATTTTCTAGCAAATGACGGCTCCGTGGCGCAGTGGCTTAGCAATGAGTCGCAGCGCTTGGGGCTGCGGGTTCGAATCCCGCACGGAACAAGTATTTGTATGGCCTACAAATAATTGTTCCGGGTCTGGATGTTTGTCCTTGTGCAATTTATGTTTGTAAACTGCCTCCACGATACAGGAGAAAATCCTAGTGTGGGGTAACGTTTTTTTAAAAAAAAAAAAAAAAATTAAATTTTTTTATAGGATAAAGTGACAAACGAGCATTTGAATAAAATAATTAAAATTTTTAACAATAAGTAAAACCCAACTTCAAATTGCTAAAAAGGAAGCTTTTTATATATAGAATATATGACAAACGAGTACACAGTCCACCTGATGGTAAGTGGTTGCTGTGGCCCATAGACATCTACATCTATCTTCGTTTGCGAATTAAAATGCAGATGCGTTGTCAGCCGTGAGGACTAAGATAGAATGCCTCTTTTTCAGTAAAAAGTTATCTATACTCACCATACGAAACACAGCAACATTAAGCTGCTATTTTACGTTGGTATTCTGTGAGAGCGTGGTCTTTCTCCGGTCGAGCCGACCCATTCGTGCTACAACTATACATTTAATATAGATGCAGCATGTCTCTACCACGTAGTAGTAGTAAGTTATTTATTTACTACTTTTAGGGATGGAATTTTTACTCCTAGTTTATATAGAACCATCTTTGAATACCTGTTTAATAATAAAAGAATCATCAAAATTGGTTCACAATCTGCGAAGATATCGCATAACATATATACAAAAAAACATACACTCGAATCGAGAACCTACTCCTTTTTGAAGTCTGTTAACAGATATTTAACCATTAAAACTATCACTTAATTTTTGACTAATAAATTTTAACTATTAAATAAATTCAACCACTATCGCCATCTTTACACGTGTTTAGTATAACATATGCGAATATGTTGCGCGGAGGGGCAACATAAAGACTTTTTCTTAACATTCAATTTCGCTCCCCATTTACTTAATTTGTGTACCGCGGGCTATATATAAAAATTAGATTCTGAAAAAGTAAACTCCAATAAAAATCATACAACAACATCTGAAGCACATTAAAAAAATATCATACAGACATAATACTTATCGAATTGATAAAAAATAATGGGAATGGAAGAAACTCGTGGAAAGAGTTTAAATAATATCTTTGTATTGTTACGACAGCCATTTGCGTATTGCATAACGTTGCGATAAGAATGTTCCCGATTATAACGGTCTGGTTAAGTAATAAAATGTGTAGGAATAAAAATTGATAACGCTCAAACTATTAATGCAAGCAAGACGCAACCTTATGTCTATGTGTTTAAAACCTGTTCTCTTTTGGACATATTGTCACCGTTATGTAATCGCGAGTATTCTAGTACCTTCTGGTTGAACGAGTGGAAGGACCTGTATTGACCTAGAAAGTTCTATTGTGTATAAAATCTAGTCACCGACCGAAGATTCGGTTTCGGTTTCGGTTTCGGCAAGTTTCGGCAAAAAATCTAGTTTCGCTAATAGTTTCGGTTTCGGCAAAAATTCTGCCGAACCTTCGACGGCGCCGAAACTGTTCGTGGATTACGGTGCGTCGTTCGGATGACTTCGTGACTGGTGTATTATTCATAATTACAGGGTCATTTTTATTTACTAAAGACCTTTTGGGAATATATTGGTTACATCATTACAAACAATTTTAGCGAGATCACTCTTTACATAATATAATACATTCACGAAAAAACTACTTTTAAGTTTTTGTTGTCATGTCTCACTTCTTTTAAGTCTGTATTTTGTAGTACCTAAACAATGTCACAATAAATCGTCAAAGAAAATACCTTATTTATTTTACACTTGATATCAGTATCAAACATTGTGTTGAAATTATTGTACATAATTAAATAAGCAAATGACATTCAAAAAAAAATCACAAATATTAAAATTTATAATAAGTAAGTATGACCGCCGGGCCGGTCGACGCCCGCGCTCAGCTGATTGCGTTGCAGTGCCTACTAAACCATTCATCACTGTGCCTATTGCACCAGGGCGCCACTTTAAATGACTTTACATTAACTTTTCATATACCTCTTTATTTTGCATAAAACCATTTGATGAACTATTTGATTCTTTTATTAATTTCTTTACGAATTAATAGACATTCTTTAATAGACATTTAGGCAAAGACGTATTAAAACAGATAGACAAGTTACACACTAACATTATTGTATTTTAAAGTGGTGCAGGTAGTACTATATCTACGTACAGTTATTTATTATGACACGTTGCGCTAACAAAAAGAGACAAATGATACGGCATACATATCGTTAGAAAAAGATAAATATACATCATTAGTTGCGTATTGATTGCTACTGAGCGCTCATTGGCGCGCTCGTGACATACCGATATGGAAATGAACACACTAGCTAGCGTCAAAGTTTGCACTAGCGGTTAGTGTTGAAATCATAAAACCAATTATGAACATAACATCTATATTCAAAATATTAATGAGACGTTTTTCTTGTCTCTAACAGTTGTCGTGTAATTTCTGCACTACCTAAAAACACAGGAAGGCATTTTTACCACGAATAACTAGAAGATTTACGCGCTGTAGCGAAGGTATAGCCGCGATGCGAGAGCGTGCCCGACTGAATGCGAGTCGGGCAATTACCTGACTTTCGTATTGCCATTTTAGAGCGAGTATGACGTATCTATACTTTAAAAACATCTTAGCATTTAGGTAGTTTTTTTACGAATACTGTTTGCTAGCAACGTTGCCTGCATCCAAGAGGCAACGTCGCATCCACCTGGTAGCAACGCCTCAACGTCACACATGCGGCGGCCTAACGCCAAGCCAAAAGTATATTATGACGTCGACACAGGTGTAATCGTCATCAAAGGCACCGCCTGCCCTTTTCGATTTGCAGCCATCGATTTGGTGATCGATGTTTGAATTAAATGAATATTTTTTTGTAGTTGTATTTAAAAAATTAGATGCAGGTTAAAATAATTACAAATATTACAATAAAATATTTATAATGATTAAATACAAATTAACAGTAATTGAATAAAGATATAAATGTATAATGGTCCATGGTAATACAAATTTAAAAATTAGACTTACCAAGGTACTTGTCCACGCATGGCGGTGAGTATCGCGCGCATAGCGTTCAAAATAAGCACCTCCACATTCTATGCATAGGTGACACCTAAAACTTAACTGTTCACCGACACGAGATAATACTTGATGATTCATTTTGATTTGATCAAATGCCCAAATTATTTGTTCTTTCAACATGTCGCGGGTATCGAATGCGCGACTAGTATACACTAATGTCTTTACATGCCCCCACAAATAAAAATCCATTTGTGTGATATCTGGCGATCTGGGAGGCCATGCACAAGGCCCGTCACGACCGATCCAGCGACCAGGGTATTCTCTGTTTAAATAATCCTTAACTTGGCATGTTGATAATACATATTGCGTAGAGATGCAAGTGATATGTCCTCTAACAACTCTGGCAGCGTGTCGGTGAGAAAACTGATAGCTGATAGCTTTCACCGTTTAATCTTTCTACGAAGACCGGGCCCAGTAACGTTGTATTAATAACGCCTGCCCACACATTGACACTAAACCGGTGTTGAAAGCTATGCGGTCTTGGTTCATGTGGATTTTCATAGCACCACAAGTGTTTATTGTGCGAATTAAATAGTCCTATTAATGAATAGAAGTAGTGGCTGCGTTTCAAAATTCCGTCAAAGAGGTCCCTAAGAACGAGTAGGTAAAGTACTTTTCTCAGTGGTTCCACCGGATGCAGCGATGTATTGATGTAAAAGGACACTATTTCGAAAAGATATAGTAAAACTAAAAACTTGCTAGTTTGTTCAGTTTTTGAATTTCTAAGAACTTTCAGTGTCACCCTCGTACCTACTATCTATTAATTCCTGACAAGTCTCGTATTCCGTCAATGTAACAATCGCGGTCTTTGAAAGTAGTTACAACGGCCTAGCAGTCGCATTTAAGAGGAGCTTCTTGCGAGGCCACAAACAAATACACTTAAATTTGTGACTTTTTTTCGAACGTAAAAGTGATAAAATTAATTAGTCATCTTTGGTAAAGTCTGGGGGCATCGCATTTTAGGAGGGGGCTTCGCGAGGCCCTTTTAAGTGCGAGGCCGTAGGCGAGGGGCCACTTCGCCCATGCCCATGCCTAGCTACGCCACTCTTACAATCATGTATGTAACACAATTAACAACACAAAATTAGAAATAGCTTGGTAGTGATCACCTCATTCCCAGTGGTTATTATCATCCGTAAATTCCTTAATACCTATAAATATTAACCCTTTTTATACAAACTTAGTTTATTAAAGTTTTTGAACTTTGAGCAGGTTTTATATATTTTTTGTGATTTTGTTAAGTTGTATGTATATTGTGTGTAAGTGTGTGAGTGTGATATATTAAGTTATAATAATATTAACAATATTGTGAACACAATAAAATATGTTCTCAATTAGCGACTTTTTATGGGTGCCAGTGTTGATTTTTCTACAAAATTGACTTAAAAATGTATTTCTTAACGTTAAATTGTTGATTTTTACTTTAAAATAAATAAAGATATTGCTATATGACTATTACAATATCTGTTTTTCATTAACATGCATTACCTATCTGTAAATGTATAAAAATATATTCAGTACACAATAAAAAAAATTAACATGTCTAAATAGGTTTAGGTTTCGGCCGAAACTGACACCCAGACCGAAGGTTCGTTTTCGGTTTCGGAAAATCCTGTTTCGGTCGGACACTAATAAAATCATGTGCTGGCGATCGAAGAGTTACCTAATTACTTCGGGAACTCGAAGTAATTAGGTAACTCTGTACTAGTGCTTTGGGTACCTTTGGTACTTTTGGGTAAAAATTAATAATTTTTAATCTAGATGTAGCCGTGGTTAACTATGACAT